ATAACCATATTATCGATTGTTAATATCTTTTAAAAATATAAAATTAAAAAAAGAACTAAGATATTTAAATCATTGATAACAAAAAATTTCAATGTGAAAAATTTAATAAGTTTATAATTTATAAATGTTCTTGAAAATTTATTGAAAATTTTGAAATTAAAATATTTATGTAATCTTATATGGTATATAGTTTAATCTGCATATATATATATTTGTTTTATTATTGAATGATACTTTTTACTTATATGGTTTTAAAATCATGTATATCTTTTTATAATAAAATGTTAAACTATTGATCATTAATTTTTAACATAATAATTTTAATAGTTTAGTTATTTATTCTCGTTTCTCAAAATTCAAAATATAACCTCTACGAAAAAATCTAAAGTTTAATTTTATAGCTAATTTGATTGTTTAATTTATTTTAATAATATAAAATTAAAGAAAAATGATGGAGGATATATAAACTGTTATCAAATATTTATTATTAGAATCATTAAGTGTCATATATATGTATTAGTCATTTATGGTAATTTCATAGGTTTTATTTATGGAAATAAGATAAAATAGTAATTATATCTTAGGGAACAATCATTAAGTGTCATATATATATATTAGTCATTTATGGTAATTCCGTAGGTTTTATTTATGGAAAGAAAATAGCATATCATATCATTATATCATATAGTTTGACTAACTAATGTATCTAGCAACCTATAAAAATTCAATGTGGACTTACTTATTTTTCAATTGGATCTAATTGACTACCTAATTGAATGACACCTATGCATTGGGGCCTCTTTTAATTAATACAAAATTGAGGTTACATCTTTTCAAATGTTCCTCAATTAATATATAGGGGATATGTTACGTGACGATCACGTTGTCAAGCTAACCGACTCTAACCCTATAACTCCTTGCCGCCTCTTGTCTTCAAATTTGCTTCAGTTTATTTGTCCTCTCTGTTTTTTTTTTCTTTCTCAACAAATTCTTTAGAAAGTCTCAATAAGTGTCAGACTTTTCCAGTTTTATTCGTTGGTTTTGGATAAATTTGAAAAAAGAAAAGAGATTGTTTATAATTCTTAATTTCCTTTTTCTTCTTTTTTTTTTCCTTTTTGTCCACGGTAATAATCTATATAAGCCAGTTTTTAACCTCTTTGTCTCACTTGTGTCACCCCAAAGAGAAAAAAACAATGAAAAAAAAATTATCGAGGAAGGAAAGGAAGAGGAGGAACAAGAACAAGAACAAGGTGTGTGGTTGGTTATCGAATTTGCCAGATGATGTGGTTACGAACTGCCTGGTTCATGTATCGCGCGTGGACCTGGCGGCCATAGGTATGACCTCCAAGGCATACCGGTCTCTCACAAGCTCTCCTTATCTCTGGAACTTGAGATGGCAGATGAATCGCTTAGAGGCATCGTACTACGTGTGCTTGCACATATTTCCAGAACCCATCCCACGGTGGTTCATCCTCCACCCGGTGAAACGTCATCTGAAACCGATCCACTGTAAGTTTCCAGAATCAGGATCCGCTTTCGTGGTGGTGGATTGGGGTATATTTATCATCGGTGGACTCGTAAACGGCAAGCCCACATCGGAGGTCGTTTTGTTTGATTGTTTCGAGCATAAGTGGCACAACATACCGCCCATGAGGATGCCTCGTGCGTCCGCCTCAGCACGCAGGATAGACTACAAGATATACGTGTTTGGAGGGTGCGGGGATGAGGTTGATTCCTCAAACTGGGCAGAGGTATACGATCTCCGCGCCCATACTTGGGAGTTCGTCTGTGTGCCTACTTCTACTCGGCCGAAGAATATCAAACAAAGCGTGGTGATAGACAATAAGGAGGTTTACGCGGTGGATGAGGATCATCAAATCTTCTCCTTCTCCCCAAGCAAATTGTTTGCGTCAAGCGGAAAAACAGATTCTAAGCCAGGAGACAGAGAGGACTGGTGTTGCTTTGGAGGATTCTTATTTGCCCGCGGAAGCAGGACAATACTATGGTGTTTGCCAGACGAGTTGGATTGGAAGGAAGTTAAGGGTTTGGAAGAACTGCAACAACTGTTGGTTGGAACCAACGATATCTGCAAACTCTCCTGCAAACTATCACCAAACAAGGAGGGGTCATGCCTTGTCATCTTCTGGAACACCCAGCCTCAAGGTGCTGAGAGTTTGGAGCTTTGGTCTGCGGAGATTTCCCTCGAGAAAATCGGACCAGATCTTTGGGGAAAGATTAAGTGGTCTGGTTCTGTCTACAAACTCGATTACCCTCTCACTGACTCAAATAGAGTTAAGGTCTTGTATGCTGATATTGCCCTTACCTGATGATGTTCTCAAACAATATATTTATAATTGATATCATCTCTGACTGGGATCTAAGTTGTTTTAAGCATCTTCTTCGTGTGCATTTTTAATTTATACCATTATTTGCAATTGAGTCAGAACCAAGATACACATATATATATATATATCTCTTGTGCTCGTACCTTTTGTCAAAAGTGTTTTAGATTCAGAGATAACTTAGATTGCAAGATATTATTGATATTTTCATTGACATGCGTTATTGTTAAAGTCTATGTTTCCGGGTGGTATTATAGAATGATGAATGCCTCTATTTATTCAATCAAATTAGGATTTACACACTTTATGAGTAAAATCTTCAGTTTGTGCTTTCTTCCCTAATAAAAAAAGCTAAGTCTAATGTAAGCTGAGACACACCAGAGAGGTAATAATAACACTGAGAGAACAGTGACTATGATGCTGATGGGACCAGAAGTTACTTCGATAAGTCACTCAATCTTATCGTTAAGTTACTTCGATCAATTAGTACTTTTATCGAATGATCAATGCAGAGGCGAAAGGCGTTGATGCCATTGCAACCGCTAGGTTTTGAACAACTACTCATCAAGAAATGCAGTAACCAGTAAATAATCTGTCGAAAGAACTTTTAGGTAAAACTCACTTTACTTTGCTCATCATCCTTGCTGAAACGAATCTGGGCCTCCCATAAATGACTCTAATGAAAGGAATCGAACATACGATTTTTTCTCTTCGTATTGGTTACATGGTTGAGCTGAATTGTTTCCTTTACAGTGAAGCTTGGAGCAAAGTGATAGAGTTTACAAATCCCTAGGCTTATTTATTGAATAGAAAACGTGATTACAAAGAGGATAACGAACAGCTTCGAAGCTTGAATCCGATTACACTCTCATGGCGAGTGTAATCTTCATCACTAATCTCATGTCGATTAGGTGCAAGGACTCATGGCATCACTCACTTACAACATTGAAAGCATAACCTCAACATAACACTGCAGAGGGGTTATAGATAGTGAGAGTTGTTTAGAATGGTTAGTAAAAGTAAGAGCTAATTTGTACTTGTTAACGTACATGTGTAATAGATAGTTCGTGAGTTTGTCTTTAATATGTTTCCCCTGACCATGTTGCAGGTTCGAAAGGAACATAGATACAGGCTGGCTCAATTGCTTTCCTTTTAAATAACTTGCCAGACACTCTGGAAAGCAGTGAGTGTATCATTCGTATATTAATGGTGTGAGTAATTCATTTGTATTATTTGTATCATTTGATTATAAGGTCTTTGAGACTTTGACCTTAACCTTAAAATGCTTAACAAATATGGTTGACAAAAAAAAAAAAAAGCTTTACAGCAGAAACAAACATTGCCAATCCCAACCCTGCTAATGGAAACAGGGCCATCAAAGGTAAGTGGAGAAATGGTCAGAAAATATAGATCTATATCACAATATTAGGAAAGTTGAAAACATAGATCAAAATGCATTAACACAATAAGAACTTGGGCACTTGAAGTACAACTTGGTTTCGCCTATATATCCTCTTCGGATAAGCTTAACTGTATGAGATAACTAGCTCATCTCTTTTTATAGCTTTATCAGAATTCATATCAAAGAACATACAATATACAAGAAAAAAAAACATGAAATGCAGAAATCAACGGAAACGAGACTTCTTTAAAAACATCAAACTTCATCAAAACTACCTGTCTTACTTACCCCCGGCATCCGAGGAGTCTCTCCCCTTTTATCTATGAATCACTCAAATCATATCGTTGTCTCTTTTTCTCAAGTCATTTAAGCAGAAATCATCCTCCTCCCTCATTGTTCTTGATGTCACTGAAGAAGCTAGCCATGATCAGCAAGCACCATTGTCTTTACTAAAACAAAAGAATATGTCATATATTTATTTCCACTATCAAATAAATCCTCAAACCATCGACTAATATAAATATTTGAGAGAAGTGGATCCCGAATGTTTTGGAAATGATTTTAATAAAGGTAGTTAAGGTTACAAAATTAGCTATATATATATTTCCGGGTATGACCAATGGAAAAAAGAGTAATGTTCTCCGTTTTAGTAAAATACTAGGTGATTTTCCCGTGCTCATGCACGGGTATGAATATTCATAAAACTAAAGTTTTAGAATAATTAATTGCTATTTAGTTTTAGTTTTAATTTTGAATAAATTTATATTAATAAATATTATATTATTCTAATTATACATATGACTTTAGATATATCATTGTTGGTTTAATTATTTTTTGGATCAATAGTCGGTTTGGTTATCAATTTGGTATATGGGATAATATCTATTTTTTGAATTCAGCTATACTATTTTTTATTCTAAATATAATAAAACTTTGATTAATTTTCTTATTTTCATTTCGGTTGGTTATTGTCTTAGATATGTAAATATATTATAGTTAAATTATGTATAACTTAATATATACTGTGTTTAAATGAAATAAATAATAAACTGAAGTGTTTGATTCAAAATTACATAAAGGAATATAATGATAATATTTTGAAGTCTCATACATATATATAAATTCTACAAAATAATTAAATTGTAATTGGTTAATATTTTATTTTTGTTTTTAATATGCTTTGAGTCAACCTCTAATTTATATGTATAAAATTAAATAGATTATTATTATTATTATTATTATATTATTATTATTATTATTATTATTATTATTATTATTATTATTCTTATTTAAAATTATATGTTCTTATTTAGTTAGATGTTTAATTTTGGATATAAATTAGATTAGTCGAGTCATTCATTTTGTGAGCATATTGAGTTAAATATATCTTTAAATTAAAATTGAAGTATAATTACTTTTTATTTGAGTTAAGTCAAATCAAATTATTTTATTTATCACTTAAATATACATGTATTTTCATAATATTTATTTACTCTTTATTTTAGTTAGTTTAAATCAAATTATTTTTATTTATCGCTTAAATATACATGTATTTTTATAATATTTATCAAATTCTATGTTGATTTCTTGAATGGTCATGAACATATATATTTTTATTATTTTGAAAATATATTTATGTTATTTAAAAATATATATTAATGGGGGTATTACTATTTTGTCAACTTTCCTTTTTAATAAAGTCATATTATATATATATATATATATATATTTCGTTTTAAAATTTTAGAAATATTTTCTTTTTATTATATATGTTATTTGGAAAAAAGTAAAAAGGAAACTAAATAAAAAATTAATAATAATCTTAAAAACTAATAATTCATTAAGGGTATATATGTAATCAACCATCGTGAGAGTTAACGTGAGCGCGACACGTAGGAAACTGACTTCTCAAATAATATTATAGAGATATTTATGTACTATATATACATAAACAATAAAGACCTCATTTTTAATGACATCACCCACAAAATTACGAGAAAAAACAAGGAATGAAAAACTTTAACTTTATCTGGATCAAGATGAAAGGTAATTTTGCTTCATCTCTTTTACATAGGTCGCCGAAGATTTTGGGGTTGAAGATTTATTTTGATTTTGAGTGTTAGCGAAATTTAATCTAAAAGTTACATTATTTATGGAATATTTGCATTGACACTTCGCTTACGTGCTGATTTGATCGTGTTCAATTATTCTTCAACTTTTACTAAGGGGTTGATTTGATTGTGTTTAATTGTTATTTGTGCTGAGCTTGTACAGTTGTAGTTCGCATGATCATAACTCTAAAGCTTGTTTTGAGCACCCAAACGTCAGAATATCACCTAAGACTATAGTCAATCAAAAATAAGTTGTAATATGTGAAAGTTGTTGAAGGAGAATAATTAAAAGTTGTCGATTAGAAAAAAGGAACACTGTTTCAAGATATAAATTCTATTGTCATTGGTTTAATGATTCTGAAATAAACGAGAATTTATAAATTCTATTGTTTATGGTTTAATGATTCTTAAATTCTTAATCAAAACTTCTAATATAGATGATTTAATAATTCTTGTTAAATCCTTACTAACTGATACATGGTTTTGTTGTAAGTCATTTTAGAATATTTTGTTATTTAAAAAGTTGAGTATTTTTAGACTTTACAATTCTATTAAACTCTTGTATTACTGAAACAATGATTCCTTACACTTTAACTCATAAGTCGTTACTTTCGAAGAGCCTAAACTTCTAAATATAGCATTTATAGAAAAACTCGATTTTCAGTAGGCGTTAACCCACATATTTCAAGAAAAATTAGAAAATATGAAAATTTTGTTTTAATTCATATTTTCATCCTTCACTGACATAGTATGAAGGTTAAAGAGGTTTTAGACCTTAGGTGTTCACATTTCTCTAGAAAATAGATTTTTTTTATAGGTAGTTTGTCCACTAATTAAGTGGTATATGAAATTTAAATAAATTACATGTTGGAAAATTTGAAATGATGTTCATGTACCATGAAAATAATTTTAACATACACTAATATAAATTTAGAATTTGATTAGGTAATTTTTTATTAACAATAAAGAGCCAAAACTTCTAAATATAGCATTTATAGAAAAACTCGATTTTCTGTAGGGGTTAACCCACATATTTCGAGAAAAATTAGAAAATATGAAAATTTTGTTTTAATGCATATTTTCATCCTTCACTGACATAGTATTAAGGTTAAAGAGGTTTGAGACCTTAGGTGTTCACGTTTCTCCAGAAAATAGTTTTTTTATAGGTAGTTTGTCCACTAGTTAAGTGGTATATGAAATTTAGATAAATTACATGCTGGAAAATTTGAAATGATGTCTATGTACCATGGAAATAATTTTAACATACACTAATATAAATTTAGAATTTGATTAGGTAATTTTTTAACAACAATAAAGAGCCAAAACTTTTAACATACATTAATACAAAATTAGAATGTGATTGGGTAATTTTCATCAACATTAAAGAGCCTAAAATTTTTAATAAAGCATTTATCAACAACTCAATTTCTGTAGGGGTTAACCCACATATTTTGAGAAAAAATCAAAAATAT